ATTAAAGGATTGTGAGAGGGTAATTTGTGTATTTTTAGGGCAATGTTTTGAAACAATGATTTTAGACTTGTCCTTGTTTATGGATTGTCCTGATAAGAGACAGAAGGAATTAATACACTCCTTAATGGCATTGATTGATTTTTTATTGGTGTTTGCCATAAGGTCAGGTCATCCGCAAAAAAACAGGTGAGATATTTAAGGATTGTTGTTACCAATTCTAATTGGGTCCCAACACCTTATGGCTACCTTATGGTTAATCAGAATGGACAGCATTTCCATTCATAATATGAAGAGATATGGGGACATGGGGTCACCTTGGCGGATCCCTCTACTAGGTGAGAAATAACTAGTTCTAGTGCCATTAACTAAGATGGATGTTCTATTAGTGGTGACACAACTCATTATAAGTTTTGTAATGTTTGGGGGGAATTTAAAGAATCTTAATGTTTTGTAAATGAAAGACCATTCCAAACGATCGAAAGCTTTTTCTAAATCAATTTTTAGAATCATATTGTGATTTTTGCCACGATATTTATTCATTTTGAGTATTAGTTCTTGAATGATAATGGCATTGTCACATGCTTTCCTATTTTTGAGGAAACTGCTTTGAGAAGGGCTAATTAAAAGGTTTAGAAAGGGTTTCAATCTGGTGGAGATAACCTTGGTGATAATTTTGTAGACAGTGTTGCATAGACCTATGGGTCTAAAAAAAATTAAGTTGTTAGCATTGGGTATTTTTGGAATTAGGCAGATCAGCGTATCATTAATAGAACTAGGAATTATACCCGTTTTGAAAGCTTCTTGGCAGATATTAGTTACTGAATTACCCACAATATTCCAGTAATTTCGAAAGAAAAAGGGGTGAAGTCCATCTGGCCCGGGTGCCTTGAATGGTTTGAAGGAGAAGCAAGCTTTGGTAATTTCAGCATGAGTAATAGGATCGTCAAGGGAGGAGAGATTTAGCTTTGTGAAACAATCAGGGTCATTTTTAATGAGGTTCCAGTCACTATTAACATGGGATGAAGTGAAAGCCATTTCAAAGTAGTTTTTAGTTTGACTAATAATGTCGTCAGGGTTATCAATCCACATACCTTGATCATTCTTGAAGTAATTAATCTTATTAACTCTTTTTCTATTCGTGGCCACAATATGGTAGAATTTTGTGTTAGCGTCACCTTCATTAAGCTAGTGAATTCTAGAGCGGAGTTTCCAGTAATCCTCCTCCATACGTAGAATATTATTGTACTCCTGAGTTAAGGATTGTTCTAAGGATTGGAGGAAGAGACTGTGGTAGTATGACGGGGAGTTTTGGATACTTTTTAGTCTAGAAAGGATGATTTTTTTCTTTCTACCAAGGTCTCCAAAGACAGTGTTTTTCCAACTTATAACAGCCTCATTAAATATTGAAGCAGCCTTACTATGCGAATTGTTGCACCAAGAGTCATTAAATAAGGTTTTAAAATGAGGATGTTTACACCAGTAGGGCTCGAGCCTAAAGGGTTTATCAAGTAGGTAACCCCTTTTAGGAATGAGATTAATTAAGAGAGGATTGTGATCTGAGTGGGTCTTGGGTAAGTGACTAATAGAGGCATTAGGAAAAAATTGAATCCACTCATTGTTTCCAAATACCCTATTCAAATGTTCTAGAATTAGGTCATTGTTACCAAATTTATTATTACACCAAGTATATTTACGGCCTTTATAGCCTAAGTCTTGTAGATTACAATAGTTAATATTGTCCCAAAGTTTAAAGGCACGTCTATGATTGATGGGTATTCCACCAATTTTATCATTAACTGAGAAAATATCATTAAAATCTCCTCCTGCTAGCCAAGGGATTTTATACAAATCAGCTATATTTTTTAGATTATTCCACATAGAATCCCTTTTACTAATGTCAGTGCTCGCATACAAAGAAGAAAATAGCCATATGAAATTAGTAGGACGTACCTCAATTGTAGCATGAATTTCATGGTCTCTACGTATGGCATTGTGGACTGTCACTCTCGTATGGTCCCAAAGGAGCACCATGCCTCATCCTTGGCCATCCGTTGGGACCTCAATAAGATCGGAGAAACCAAATTCTTGCAAGAGTGGTGTATGAATATGCATTCTAGTTTCAAGTAATGTGACCATGCATGACCTATGAGTATCAATGAGTTCTCTAAAATTTCTTCTAAATTTTCATTATCCCCCCCAGTGTTCCAAATAATGAAGTTTGTAGCGTTAAACATATTGATATTAGGGGTTTGGTTGTGACCATTTTCCAGAATGTCCCTTGTGGGATTCAGGAGGCTCCTCAGGGTTGGGACAAGTATCATTGCTCGGTTCCCCACTGTTGGGGCGTG